GCTAGCCGGACCAGAAAGCGCATACATTCAGGCCGAGCCTTTAATTTTTTATATGTATTTTTATAAAAGGATTTTTAGGGAAAATTTAAATAATATTTAGTTAGTGTACAAATAATATAGAAAATTAATAAAGAATAATGAACAAAATAATTAAAGATATTAATAGGTGAAAATAAATAATTTAATTTAATTTTTAAAATTATTTTTAATCACAAACACTAAGAATTATTTTTTGTAATATTATTTAAAGTATTTTCACTCACTTTGCAATTTCCTTTTGTAGAATAAGAAAAATAAGATAAATTAATAGGCCAGATATTATAATGGAATTTTTGAGTAAAAAGGGAGATAGCACCGTCTTCTAGACTCATTAGAATTTTTTGTGGGGTTTTGACTTATTTTAAATACAAGAATTTTTTCCTTAAGTTCTATAAATAACAAAATTTGTCTCCATATTTAAAAAAAAGTTTTTAGGTATGCATTTTTCCATTAATTTATAATAAACCTAAAAAGCAACAAATAATGCTAAGTTTTCAGTAAAAAAAGTTTTAAAAAAAGTTTAAACTAAAAAAGAAAAAACCAAAACAGAAAAAGCTGTCAACAATCATCAATATGCCAAAACAGAAATTTTTGTCAATTTCTTTCTTAAAGCTTGGGAAAAAGCCTTGGAACAGCTTTTTAAGAATAAATTCTTTGCATGGCTAATTGAGGATGAAAGGGACAGAAAAAAGAAGAATAAAGAAAGAAAGTGAGTAATTATTCATGAAAAATAAAAACGAATAAGCCAAAAAACAAAACAAAATATTAAAAATTTAGTCAATCAAAACTGTCAATAAATTGAAAAAATATTTTGAGAATTATTCTAAGAAATAAAAAAGATTTTTTTAAATTTATTTTAGGTTTGATGATTAAAAATTAATTTATTAAAAATAAATTAAAAGCTTCGATCAAAATTTTGTTTAGAATACGGTGATCTTGTTCAGTCTATTAGAGTAAAATCTGAGAATTATTAAACAAATAACTGCTTAATTAGTCTTAAATGAAAGATTATTTATGTGGAAAAGTATTAACTCATTTATTTTTTTAATTCTTTTAGGAAATTAATTAAAATCCAAAAAGTATGAAATAAATCGAAAAACAATTATTGGGGAATTATTAGTTTATTAATTAATTAATTAATTAATTAAATATACATATATACCTATATTTAATTTCAGTGTTTGTGATTATTTAAAACAAATTATAATTTAAAAATAAAATTAAAAAAATAATAAAATTTTAAAAATATCTTCTAAAAATATCAAGAAATATATTTACCTAAACCCGTTAGGATTTTATCTCAAAAATATTTATATAAAATCCATCAAAAATAAATGGATATAATTAATAATTAAAAATAAAAATAATCTTTTTTTATTATTCCCCTTATTTTGCTAAAGGCTATTTATTTTCATTAAGAGAATCGATCATTATATGTAGATATATCCCGTAATTTAAGCTTTAAAAATATTTCTTTAATGCTTTTTTACATTAAAATAATTATGAAATTGTTGATTTAAACCTCCTCACTTAAAGCTAAAAAATATTTTAAAATGAGGAATATTTTAAATAGAAGGGGGTATCGGTTAGTTAACTAAACAAAATTTCAAAAAACGTATCTTAAATTAAGATATATATTCATCTAATAATTGATGGGAGTAAGGTTGTCGGATAGTTGGAAATCTTTTATATCCGGATTCGGATCCGGTATCCGAACCGAAAATTTACGGATATTCGGATCCGACAACCTTAGTTGGGAGATGATAGTGAAGTTTATTTTTTTAATTGACATTAAAAAATTTAAAATTAAATTTTATTGGAGAAATTAATGAAAAATAAATTGAAAGGAAATAAGATATACAGTCGTGGAAAAAAGTATGGAAGCGCTAGAAAATTTTTTCTTATTTCTTAATTTTTCATTCAAAAAATACGTTCTATATACCAATCGAAAGCTCTATTCTATCTCAGTTGACATGTTTCTGCATTTTTCATGAAAATAAAAATTGGCCGAGATAATCCGGATCTACCGGATATACCAAATCCCACTTTTTCGGAAAAATTTTTCGGAACAAATTTAACAAACCCAAATGATAAAGCATATTTTTGTGAGCATTTACCACATAACCGCTTATAAATATCTTTCTCCGGAGCAGAGATATGATTTTTCGAAAATGGCATTTTTCGTCTATTTTTGCAAAAAATTCAATTTTTAAGCGAAAAATGCGATTTTCAAAAAATCATATCTCTGTTCCGGAAAAAGATATTTCTAAGCGGTTTTGTGGAAAATACTCAGGAAAATATGCTTTATCATTTGGGTTTGTTAAATTTGTTCCGAAAAATTTTTCCGAAAAAGTGGGATTTGGTATATCCGGTAGATCCGGATTATCTCGGCCAATTTTTATTTTCATGAAAAATGCAGAAACATGTCAACTGAGATACGAATAGAAGTAGTAAGTCCCCCACAAATGTATCACTTGAGGGGTCCATTGAAAAAGTCCGTGCCTGAGGTGCGGTATTTTTCCTTTGAAGATGCCGCCAAATCCGTGCCTAGAGGGCACTTTTTTGCGCGAAAAGTTAAATTTTGGCGCAAAACCCCTCCCTTTGGAAGGGGGTTTGGATTAATTTTGCGCGAAAAACAATGTTTTGGCGCAAAACCCTTCTTCTTTCGGGAGGGGTTTATATTTTTCGGGGGTGTCAAAAAAATTTACCGCACTGATGCACAGGCTTTTTTCAATGGCCCCTCGAGTGATACATTTGTGGGGATAAAAATTATTTAAAATATTTATTTAAAATAAAATTGTTTAAAATAAATTTTATTTAAAATTTTCTAAAATGAATTGTGAAAATGGTCGGTTGAATCATTTTCTGAAAACGCCTAGGAACGCCCCCTATTTTTTAAAAAATTATAAATATTCAAATATTCAAAATATTTTTTCAAAGGTTAAAAATTAGTTTAACAATTTATTTTTTTACAAAAAACTTCCAAAAAAATTCAAAAAAATTTTTTCAAAAAAATTCAAAAAAAAATTCAAAAATTCTAAAAAAAGTTTTTAAAGGTGAAATGAAGCAATATAAAAGGGGGCATATTTTGTAAACTATTGTCATTATAAAAATTTATTTATTTTTGTAATAAATTATTTTAAAATTAATTTTAAATAAATTTAATAATGAAAGAGCTTATCCCAATTGTATCCTTTTCTGCTACTACAAACGGATTAACAATATCATCCCCTAAATTAAATACTCCACGTTTTGTTCCCTTTGATATTTCTGGAAAATGTACAACCTGCCGAGCAGATGACGTGGAAATTGATTACGTCATTACCATAAAAGGAATTCATATTATCAGTAATAGACTTAAGAAGGAAAAATTTGTCGCTTTTGATATAATCGAGAGATATGGAGAGACCAACGTTTTTCGCTTCAAAACACGTAGAAAGGTTTTCAGTATACAAATTGACAAAGAAAAAAATCTATTCCGGACTCAATCAATCAACGATGACTTTTTCAATTTACAATGCGGAACCGGAAATGGAAATTCCTTATTCCGATCACAATCAATTATTGACGAATATTTGGAATTTCCACCTGAAAAAAGATTGAAATTGGAAGAAAAGGAAAATGCAGAGAAAAATTCCAATGAAGGTATCGTAAAAGAAGATAACAAAGCAAAGTCAGACGAAAGTGAAAATATAATAGAAAAGGAAGATGACAAAAAGTCAGCCGGAAATATAGAAGAGCAGGATGACAAGAAAAAATCAGAATTTATAGAAGAGCAAGAGGATAAGGAATTGCCAGACGAATGTAAAGAAGAAACAATAGAAGAAAAGGAAATTTAGATAAATTAATTAGATAATTTGTTTTCATTTTTAAAATTTATTTTCACTTTTAAATAAAATATGTTAAGCCAACTTGAATTATATCAAACCTATTCCAAAAATGATTTGAAATTGAAATTACCTTTTGGATGTATAGTTAGCGGGCCTAGTTCAAGCGGAAAGAGCACTTTTATAAGAAATTTAATTAGTGATGCAAAAGAAATGATTGACCCACAACCTAAGTCTATTCTTTATTGTTACGGAGAATTCAGTTTATTAGTTTCTCAACTACAAAGAGATGGAATTTCGGTGTATTCGGGAGTTCCACCAGAAGAATTAATAAAAAAGCAACAAAAACCTTCGTTAATAATTCTTGACGACCTTTTATATTCGATTGATGAAAAGTATCTTTCTGAACTATTTACAAAAAAGTCACACCATCTTGATTTTGGAATTGTCTTTGTCACCCAAAATTTATTTGAAAAGAAACTAAGAGTTGCTCGTCAAAATTCGATGTACTTAGTATTAACTCGAGCTCCAAACGGCGCACTATCTATCAGAAATTTGGGAGTACAATTATTTCCTGGAAAATTGGAATATTTTCTCGACGCATATCGACAGGCAACGCGTGATAAATATTCATATTTATTTATCGATATTCACCCATCTTCCGACACAACACTGCGACTTAGAACAAATATATATGACTTTTTGAAGCAAAAAAAAGATTCAGATAATTTTGAAACTACTATATTTTTACCAAAATCTAATTAGTTATTAAAAATGATAAGTCAAATAGTAAAAAATAATTATCAATTCCTTAACCAATTATCAAAAACGAGGTCAATAAGAAAGAGAAAACGTCTATTAAAACAAGCATCTATAGAACAATTGCTTTCAATTGCTGAAATTTGTCTAAATATTGTACGAAATAAATTTCAACTAACAAAACGACAAAAAGGTCGATTAGTGCCATTTGCTGATTTTGTTCGTCGCATTAGTCGTGTAAGAACAGTACGCGGTGCACGGAGAATTGTCATACAAAAGGGCAGCGGTCTCCCCCTAGGGCTTTTTCCAGCATTACTTACACCAATAATAATTGAATTATCAAAAAATATTGCATCAAAATTTTCTTCAAATTAAATGGCTAATAAATTTATCCTTGTCCCAGAGGATATCTATCGAGGATTATTGACTCAACCATCTTCAGACACAGGAAACATTAATTTGGATTATACACGAAAAAATTTGGATATTATTAAAAGACAACACGAGAACAATGAATTAAAAAATATCAATTACAATCAAGAATTACGTCGTTATCTACACATGCTAAAGGAGCAAAATCAAACACCAGCAGGCGTAGCCGTTCGTAAAATTGATAACCCAGCCCTTGATCAGATAAAACAATTATTGCCCCTAATTACTCCTACACAAAATGAGAATACAGCTGATTTAAATGTTACAAAACCATCGATAAATGATGAGGAAAAAGTAGTTACTGAGGACTCTATGTATACAGCAGATGAAGGGAGTGACGTGGAAACACCCAAAACTTCAAAGACACCAAAATCTAAATTAACTCAAAGGACTTCAATAATATATCATTTCATGAAGAAAAATTTTGAAAAATATAAAGTGAATAAAGAAGATAAAATTTTAAATGAGAAAGGAACAAAAGAAATTCTAGGAAGTAATGTTAAAAAATCCCTTGATTGCATAATACGCTCGGATTTTACTGGAAAGCATAAATGGAATGGAGTTTCACCGCCTGGTACTACTATTCTAGAGAAAAGATTGAGAAATGATCCCTATATTTGGCAATTAATTGAAAAAGCTAAAACACCAATTACACCAAGACGCATTACTCAGCCCAAAAGAATATCTCAAGGATTCAAATCAAAACAATCGTCATTATTTGAAGGAGAATGGAGACAACCAGAAGAGTGGATATAATACTTGATCGGATTTATAATGATCCCGCAAATCCCGCTGGGTTTGCTGGTATTAATCAATTATGGATAGAGGCAAAAAAGAAGGATAAAAGTATAAAAAAGAATGATGTGATTGAATATTTAGAAGGTCATCGTACATATACAATTCATCGCCCTAGACGTGTGCGGTTCAAAAGATCAAGGACTATGCCTGCAGGTTATATGACAGATGTTCAGTGTGATTTGGCCGATTTTCAAAAACTATCTCGGCAAAACAATGGTTATAATTATGCTCTTGTTGCAATAGATGTCTTGAGTAAACGTGTTTTTGCAGAACCTGTACGAACAAAGAAAGGAAAGGACATGATCCAGGCATTTGAAAGTATTTTGGAAAGAATGGAAATGCACCCTCATAGAGTTTTCAGTGACAAGGGTACAGAGTTTACAAGCAAGGAAATGGCTGAATTCTTCAAAGCGAAAGACATTGAAAAGTTTACACCGAATTCATCAACAGTCAAAGCTTCTCTTGCCGAACGATGCATCCGTAATATAAAACAACGGCTTTATAGATACATGAGTGAGAAACATACATTAAAATGGGCTGAAGCGATACATAAGATAGTGGATGCAATAAATCACTCAAAATGTCGTGCAATTGGAGGATTGAGACCAATTGATATTAGTTTTAATAATGCAAGAAAAATAAGAGAAAAAATTTATGGACGTATAGGCTCTAATATAAATCGAAAGAAGACCCGATTTCAAAAGAATGATTTTGTACGCATGAGTCGTAACAAAAATGTCTTCGCAAAAGGATATCTACCTAATTACTCTGACGAAATCTTACAAGTGGATCTTGTGAAAAATAGAGCCAACCCCAACAGATATCGAGTTAAGGATGAAAAAGGAGAAAATTTTGAAGGATACTTTTATCCTGAAGAGTTGACAAAAGTGAGAAAAGATGAAAATACAAGTTATAGAATTGAAAAGATTATCAGTAAAAGAAAGAAAAAAGATGGAAAGAAGGAATATCTTGTGAAATTCTTCGATTACCCCAATCCAGAATGGATAGATGAATCACAATTTGTATAAAAAATTTTCTATTATTAATTGTAAATCATTTAATTTAAAATAAAATTTGATAAATATGGAAAATACTTTTTTGTTGTATTACCTAGTAATGTTAGTGATTATTCTGATAATAAGCCTAACAAATTCCGATCACATTTGGCAAAACCTATTCAGTTTCAAGGAGGAAATTGGGTATGCGGTTTATATAGTATTCAATATCCGCAATCGTGGGCAGCTACAATTGGTACAGATGAAAAACAATGGATAGAAATCAATTACAAAAACAAAAAGACATTCAAATTTGGTATCCCGAAAACAACACAATTAACTGCAAAAGGCTTGGGGTTTTTTCTTAAACTAGTACTTGCAAAAGTCCAAAAAGAGGAAGCTAGAAAGCGCAGAGAGCTTAATACTTATACAGAAGATGATATTCAAAAAGATTCCCCTATTAAAAAACGATTCAGAAGAGAAAAAGAAATTAGCAAAAATCAGACAGACACTGTTCAAATTGAAGACTGGCTAGATGAATTTTTTATCAAGTACCCGAATTATCGGGATGCTATTAAAGATTTTGAACAAGATTTAAAAAAACATAAGTTAAGTGTTGAAGAAAAAACAAAACAAGTTATGAATGAGAACAACACGGAGCAGAAATCTGTCTTTGAATCTCAACTTCAACATTTGAACACAATAACTGAAGAAAAAACAAGAAAATTTAACCTTTTAACAAATGAGGCCAAGAAAAGAGATGAGCTTGATAGGCAGGCAAACCAATCACAGATGATTGGACAAAATGAAGAAATAGAAAAAGAAATACAAGAAGAAGAGAAACAATATTTTTACTTTGATGAGGAACAAAAAGAAGAGCCAATTAAAGAAAAATCACAAGTAATATACGAGGAAAATGAAGCGCAAAATCAGGATTTATATAGTGAAATTGAATTTGAATATTTGGAAAGTATCGATCGATTTCGCGCACAGTTTAACAACCCAGAAATCATCTCAATAAATATTTCCCCACAACTTTGCTATGTTCTAGGATTTCCCTTGCAGCCTATAAAGAATGAGCAAATTGGAAAATACGGGATTGACCTAAAAGGAGGTTTTACAAGTTTTGCAGTGTACTCGAAAGGATTGACCAGCAGTGTAATAATGGGAAATGCAATTAGTTCCTTATTAAGGATTGTCTCTGTTGAAAATAAATCGGGAGGCGTCATAGAGAGAGTCTACGATCACCCAATGTTTATCCCTGTCCAGCCAAGAGAAATTAATGAAATAGAAATCGAATTGCGATGGTTGAACGGAAGCCTAGTAAAATTTGATCATGGAACAGTTATTGTGACATTAATGTTTAATAAAGTTTTAAGATTTTAATTTGTTTCATATATCATTTTTAAAATTATTAATAAAATAAATCATAAATTTATTAGTTTTATATCTAAATATGGTACATATTCCTTTTGACACTAGAGAAATTGGGTATGATGACCATCACGAACAAATCCAAATAGGAGAAGGAGGATTCGCTTTGCAAAACGATGGATCCTATTATTTTCGTGGACATGGGCCATTTCAAAGAGGATACGGACGCCAAACGGGTGGAGGAGTTGGTGATGTACTGCGACATTTTTGGCGTTTCCTTTTACCATATGCTCGTCGAGCCGGAACAGCCGTAGCTAAAGAAGCTTTAGATACGGGAGGAAGAATTTTGGAGAAAGTTGAGAATTCTGCATCACACGAAGGAGGAAATAATTTAAAAAGTACCATCATAAACGAAGGAAAACGTGGATTAGATAGATTATTAGAGAGAGGGGGGCTGCCAAAACAATTTGGAACGGGGTTGCGCCAAAGAAAAAATAGTATAAAAAGAGCCAGAACAAAAAATCAAAATCATTTGCCATTAACAACACAAAATAAAAATCAGATATTAGTTGGAAAAATCTCAGCAAATACACCAAAAAAGAAAAGAAAGAAAATTGATACATTTGGTTTATATTAAAAATGTCAATTCACCACAAAATTGATCGAGAATCAGCAAATGCAATCACTAATGCACTTTCATTTTTTGAAACACCAAATACAAATGTCAGCGTAACTAATTCATCAGTTATTGAACTCCTTACACTTAACCCAGTAAATATCACTCCGTATCACTTTAAAATTCACGCAAGCACAAATTACATAGATTTAGCAAAATGTTACGTGTTTATTGAACTAAAAATCCTTAAAGAAGATAAAGATGGAAGAATGATTGATCTAGGAAAAGATGATAATGTAGCTGTCTGTCAATTAATAGGCCATACTATATGGAAAAATTGTAGAGTGTCAATAAATGGCACACAGATATTTGAAGGAAACTCGTTAATGGCCTATAAAAGCATTTTTGACTATGAACTCACATACCCACAAAGTGTAAAAAATTCTTATCTATCTGTGGCAGGATATTATGATGATGGGGACAATCAAACTGAGACAAAAGTCGAAACGGTTGGTTATGGATACAAATCAAGAAAGAGGTTGTTTTTGGACGAAAATGGAAATCCGAGTAGCGCCCAGTTCATGTCAAAATTGGATGTAGATATATTTAACCAGCCACGATATCTGGTAAATCAATGCGAGGTCGATATTGAACTCTTGCCCAACGACTCAAATTTTTTGCTGAATACTCCCATGGAAAATGCACCTAAATATCAAATAGAAGTAATCGCGTGCAAACTTTACGTTAAGAAAATTGAGCTGATGGATAGCTTAGCATTTGATATAGCAAAAAAATTAGAAATAAAACCTGCTCGTTACCCTATTAGAAAAACTTCATTAAAATCACTCTTCATAAGCGAAAATCGGACAGAATTCAACGCGAACCTATGGATGGATCAAGTACCACGAAGAATCATATTAGGAATGGTTGATAATAAAAGCTTTGTTGGTATTCAGAAACATTATCCCTTCTATTTTCAACATTTTAATTTGAGAGATATTTCAATAACAGCCGGAGGAACGGTTTTCCCGGCATCGCCTTATTCTCTTGATTTTTCAAAGGGAAAGTACTCTCGAATATTTCATGATATGCAAGAAGCAATTGGGTATGCAGGTACACTCGAAAGTAATGGCATTTCTATGGAACGATATGCTAAAGGAGGATTTTGCTTTTTTGTATTTAACTTAACAAATAGCCAGGAGGATAATGGCCCCGAGACATTTGATCTCATTAAAAATGGTACAACAAGTATTAAATTGACATTCAACGAACCAGTTCCTTCAGGGGGAATTGTTCTCATTGCAATGGGTGAAGTAGATTCATTGTTAATGTTAGACAGAAATAGAACAATTACAAGTGATATATCAGTATAAAAAATCCGAATTTAATTTCCATTTCATTTAAATAATTAAAAAACATTAGTAATTACTTTTTTGTTAGTAAATATTTCAATAATTTTTTATTAAATTTTTCATAATGTTAAAAAATCTGACTATCTCTAATAATGATAAAGATATAAAATTTGATATTTTGAATAAAATGAATAAGGAAATAGATTTGCCATTACCATGCAAGGAAATAAAAGACAATTACGGAAATTACAATTTTTACTGCATTGCACTGATTTTACTTTGGTTCATGTTGATAGTGTCCTCAGTGCTTTACCAATTAAGAGCTATTATAAACATAAAAAATAAGATTACTCAAATACCAAATAGTGTAAAACCAAACGACGATAACAATGAACACAACGCAAATTGAAAAAATATTGTTTCAAAATAACATTACAAGAAGATTTTTCGTAGGATGTTTTGCCGCAGATAAAATACCAACTGATATTACAAAATTTCCAGCTTCAATGATAGTTAATCTTGACAGAGCAATTAATGAGGGATCTCATTGGATAGGACTGTTTGCATTGAATAAAACAACAATTTATATACTCGATTCACTATTAATTCCAAATTTGCCTTCAACCATAAATAACTTTTTGTCAAAATTTCCAAAACAAATAAAAAACAAAATAATACTACAAAGCCCTTTATCAACAGAGTGTGGACAACATTGCATCGTATTTTTGTATTTCATTTCTCTAGGATATACATTTGAAAATTATCTCCATATCCTAAATTCTTATTCAAATCCCGATGAATTTGTACGAATAATTGTAAATAAACTACTTTATTGAATTTAAATTCGATAAATATATTAAAAAATAAGATAAAATTTTAAAAATATTAAGCTGAAGAAGATACAGTTTTTAGGGGTAAAAGTGCATAATTAATGAAAAGAAGAGGAAATTTAAGAAAAATTAAGTAAAACTAACAAAAAATCAAATATTACTTTGAAGAAAAAAGCGTAATAGTATGTTTTTCCCACATTTTTTTTTATCATTAACATATAGCCAAAGGATTCCCCGCTTGAGTTCATCAGATGCTTCAGTTGACTGTTTTTCTTTAAAAGTTGAGTTTGTAGAAAAAGAATCTAAGGATTGAACAGATTCGGACGACGATGATGCTTTTTTTCGAAGATTTTTCATAATGATTGGTGAATCAGAATCGGACTCATCAAAATCTTCCACTAGATCGAGAAGTTCAAGAGGGTAGTAACAATTTTTGAATTGAATGCATGGATGAAATGGATATTTCAGCATAATTTTGTGCCTAGCATGGAAATATGCGCTTACGCAAATATTGAAAGGTTGCTTAAGATTTCCATAAGCCATTATTTGATGAGAACCGAGTGAAGAAATTCCATCACAATATATTATTTGTTTTTTTCCATTTCTATCTAGATAATTGGTTTTTAAAGCCTTTCCTCTTATTTCATTTAGGACTCGATCTCTATCACAGTTATTTGTCAAGCGTTGTCTGACATTATCAATTGTACAATCTAGAATTTTTGAAATTCTTTCAAGGAGGTTTGACATTTTTTATTAATAAATATTCAAAAATAATTATTCAAATTTAATTTAAAATGAATGAATACAAAGAAAATGATTCGCTTTTATATCTGATGATTTGTGATAACATAAATATTTGCATACCACGCCCATTTTCTGAGGTATAAATATCTGAATTTTGGAACCCAAAACTTCATTCTTAAATAATTTTAAATAAAATTTGAAAAGATGTCCACTCCTAATTCTCCAAAGACATCAGATACTGAGTCTAAAAATGTTGAAGTGATAGAAATCATGGATGAAAATACAGAAGTCAAGGAGAATACTGGGACAATTGATGTCTGGCTAAGTAAAAAGTCAGCACAAAAGAAAACGAATTCGAAAAATCCTACAAAAGTATCTACAAATAGCAAAATGTTGTGGAAATTAGTCAGAATGAAATACATTCCTCGGCTAGAATTTAGACTTTGTCGCACATGTTCAAATGTACTTTTTCATAGCACAAGTCGCGTGACTGAAAATCAAGATGGGGGAGTAAAAATTAGCTTTGATCTTTGCAAACAGTGTGTTCAGCTCAATATGTTAGTAAAAGATGTGTTATGTGATTGGGATATAAAGAAAACATCAGGTGGACAAGAAATTCAAAACCAATAAAAAATTTTTTTAATCACACTTATCATATCAAAAATATATTTCAAATTTTTCACTTTATTAAATGGAAATAAATATTTAATTTTAAAATTTTAAATATTAGGTTCAGTGTTAAATATTTAAGCAAAAAATTTTCAAAACTTTTTTAACTTTTAAAACTTTAAGCTTTTTAATTTTTTTAAACTAAATGTTAGAAAAATCGGCACTAATAAAGAAAAGAACTTTTCATTTACTTTCACTTTCAACTTTATTTCATTTCCTTCTCAACAGACAAACATATTTTCACTGATCAGATCACGTTTAAACGGCAGTTCTTTGAAGCTAGAAAAGAATTCATTTCCCTTTTCCTTTTTCCTTCCCCCGACTGGCAAACATTCTTTCACTGATCAGTTCAAATTTGAACGGCATTTCCTTGAAGCTAGAAAAGCATTCATTTCCCCTTTCCTTTTTCCTTCGCCGACTGGCGAAGGAAAACGGCAGTTCTCTGAACGGCAGTTCTTTGAAATAAAGGCGGAACTTTGTGGCAATATGCTAATTTCACCGTTTATAAAGCCAAATGATAGGTAATTTCTTCATATTAATTTAATTTTCCCAGTTACCCTTTTAAAATTTTTTAAATTTTTCTTTAAAACTTTTTTTTATTATTGAATTTAAATTTTAGTTTTTATTTATTAATTTATAATGATAACTAGTTCTTCCGAAAATCCCGTTTACGAACTCGTTATCGACGAGGTCGAATCTAACGGTAAAAAAATTTTAAAAAAATTTCATTTAATTTAAAAATTTATAGAAATGGATCGTGGGTGGCCTTTTTCGGCTGATCGTGGAGAAAGAGCGAGAGGACTCTCGCCGGATGTTCATCATACGCAACTCCGATTAATGGAATTGCGAAGAGCCGAATTATTGTCGACTCCAAATAATGATCCAATGATGGCTCAAGGAACTTCTGCTATTGCTCCGTGGGAATGGACTCCCGAAAACCGATATGCTGATTGGGTTCCACCTGAAAATTGGAATTGGGAATCTGGAAGTTCATACGGTAATTTTTCTTTCAATATTTTCGGGGGCTGAGATGGGGGTATAAAATAAATAATTTATATTTTTTAGTTTCTACACCGACACATATTCCAATTGGACTTGCCGAAGAAATTGTGCCTTGGCAATTGCCTCAACAAATGGATGATGGTGTTTCGTATGAACTGCTCGCATCACCTACACCACCACCATCACCTACACCACCACCAGTCTATATGGATTTGGATGTGTTCAATTTTGAAAATATTGCGCCGGCTCAACAACAACAAATTGAACAGCAACAACAACAAATTGAACAACAAGAACCGACACCACCAACAGAACCACCAACAAAAAAGAGGAAAACTACTACTCCTCCTGTAAAACATGCGTCCGATGTTTGCATCGGATGTTTGTGTACACAGGAGGAGGTCAACATAACTTTTGGCCCAAGTGGTTGTTCCTGTGTTAACTACTGTGCGGACTGTGTGAATGATGGTATTGAAGAGAAGCTGGCGGACATGTATGATTGGAAAAGATCAGTGGATTATGATCAGATTTTAGGAGAATTTCCACATTGTGCCTGTTGTAAAGCGGAATACAATCGTTTGGTTCGGCGTTCGCGTCGAACCAAACGTAGTAATCCGCGATTTTTTTGATTTTTAATGTAATGTTAATTTTTTTATTATAATTGGCTTTAATTTTTTGTCAAGTAAAAATATTTGTTGTTTTTTATTTATTGAGTTTTAGGTTAAGTTTAAAGCTTAGGTTAAGCTTGAATTTTTTATTTAAAAATTTAAATTAAATTTGCATAGGTTAAATTTGCATTTAAATTAAATTTGCATATTCATAGTCACATTCCTTCCCCTTACTTATTCATGACACATTCCTTTCCCTTAATTATTCATAGTATTTGAAATGAAATGGCGCTCTGTATAAACATGATACGCCCATATTATCAGCTAGTATATAAAGCGTTGATATTGCACAGTTCTTTCATTTCATATTTTTTTCAAACAAAAACATGTCCGGCTGTAGCCCACCCAAACGCCCCAGATTTTTTATTCAAAATATTTTAGAAAATGATAACAATCAAAGAAGAGATCAAATTGAACAAATAGGCATAGGGTCATTAAAAGATTTTATTGAAGAACTCGATTCTGAGACTCAATATTGTAAAAAATTCAAAATAATGAAAATTGTTTCGAAATTTGTCATCAAAAACGTTCCGCCTAATCCAGAGGAACTGCTTAGACGCCTCATCGACGAATGTATCAAACAAGCAATCAAAGAATCAAAGACGAAAAATATTATTGTGGACCACCTTGGGGCTTTAATTTCCTCACCAATACTCGACAGTGATATCTGGATTCCAATTCGCAAACTACATATTGACGCTGTTGAAAATATACTACAACGATTTCTTCTTGTCTCTCAATCTAAAGCTGAACGTGGATCTCTTTGGGGCGAGCCATTCACGTTGGCAATACATTCTCTGGACGTTGCTTCTTTGCCAAAGGAAAAATCAATAACAGGAAGTGGACCTCAAGATCAACCTGCTAATTCAAATTGGCTCATACATGTTCAAAATGTTAATGATAAATATTGCCTTTTCTATGCTTTGGAACTTACAAGGAAATATGTAACGAAGGAATTAGGAAGTAGATTAAAGTTTAGTCGATATCATTTGGGGCGATTCCATAAGCAAAAATCAGATGTAATGAAATTAATGCAGGATATTGGTATTCCATTGAACAAAGAAAAATATGATGCTCAAACTTATGTCCCAATGGTCGTTGATTATTGGAATAAATGTTACATTAACAACGGATATCGCTTCAAAGTGTTTATATTTGGGAATAAAGCAGAGACAACTCCAAAGTACAAATATGGTTCCGAAACTTTCAACACTGCAATTCCAATATGCCATTCTGAAAGTCATTTCGATGGAATTAGAACTGTTGGCGCTCAATTTGGCCCACATTGGCAATATTGCTACTCTTGCGAAAAGAAGTACTGGAAAGCAAACGAACACGCTAACAATTGCAAATCCCGATGTCGTCTATGTGGAAGAGTTGGAATAGGAATGCCTTGCCCTGTTTCTGAAAACTTTAGAAAAGAATGTCAAGATTGCGGGAAAAAGTTTTGGGAAGAGGAATGCTTCGACCATCATAAGTCCAGCAACCAATGTCAAAGGTCAAAACAATGTGACAAATGCGGTACAATATGGAATGTAAAAGTGCACAGAGATAATAGAGGAAAACAACATGTTTGTGGACAAAAATGGTGCAACAACTGTCTTCAATTTCACAGTGCAGAAAGAGGATGTTTCATAAGACCGCTTGAACAAAAACAACAAACAACTTATAGATTGGTGGCATTCGATTTTGAAGCTACTCAACATACAAAATTTAATGACAGTTCATCAGATCGACTTCATTGTGTGAATTTTATTGCTGCCACTGTAGTTTGCACTAATTGTATGTTGGATAAAAAGCACTGGAAAACATTTCTAAGACGTGA